CCGTTCTGCTCTGTACGGTCGCACTACAATTAACGTGTGGACACTCATACTTTTTCACTTCTGAAAAACAACTGTTGTGACATTTGTGCTTACAATTAGTTTCCCCATCACTACATTTTTTCAATAAATTGACTCAATTTGAAAACTGATGATGAAGATATCAGTGCCATAAAACGAACTTCATATTCCAATTAATTTAGAATACATGAAACTATTCACTTTTTTTGTATATATTTGAGACGGAATCTAAGTCTTAATGTTACATCTGATGGATGGTTACATCTGATGGCATCTCGTAAAGCGGATAGTTGTGAATTTTTTGGTGTGGGCAAGAACAAAAGTTTCAATCCCACATTAATTACTGCTTGTATTTTCAACTCCACACAATTGGATGAAACTAGTAAACTGAAGGGATTAAAACGATATGTCATTATTTAATTCTTTACTATTCTTTCCAATAGCTGTCCATAAGTATTTCCCCATCTACTGCTGTATGTACCTCTTTCCTTGTGTTAAAAAATCAATGGAAACATAAAAAAGAATGCAACAGAATATTCGTTTCTCTATTGGCATTTTTCAGTTTTTTATGCATCAGTTATGACGTTGTTGTCACCATTGTCAACACCACCTAAATTCCTCGGACTGTAAGGATGCTAAATACTTGAATTTTGTCTCCATTCATTATCATATCAGTAACTGCCAAATACCAATGCGATAAACGACAAGCAGCTATCTACTGAGGTGAGAAAAATATTACATTATTATATTTTGAATTATCGTTTCACTATCATAAGTGTTTCGCAACACATTTTCATGCAAACAAACACGTTGAAAACTTCTTTTGCTAAACATAAACTTTGCAAAACTAACTCCTAACTCCGTGGAATCGTTGCTTGTGCCTTTGTAGGTTACTCTTACCAGAAATAAAACGGCCACAATTTTCACACAGTTGACGCTGATTCCTTTCATAATGATCTCGAAGTTCCGCTGGGTAACGGAATTTTCGTCCGCATTTGGAGCAGGTGCACTTATATAAATCTTGTTCCCTGTGCGTTTTAAGATGTTCTGAATATTCCTTTGTTGTCTTCGTAGTCGCATTACCATAACGACATTCATATTTCTGTTCAACTGAAAAACAGATATTTACAAATACCATTTTATATGTTAATTAATAAGTATAATTTGAAAAGTGACTGTATCAACATCATTCATTAAACTTATCAAATCACATTTGGACTAACTTAAATTACGAGATGTTGTTTACTTATCGTACTCATTCTCAGTGTTGCTTCTGGTGGAAAAATGTCGGATGAGGGGTTATTCTGAATTTTTCGTTGCAATGAGATCAGCTTCGGATTTGGGATTCTTCGTAGCTTATATCTTCAACTTCATGCAATTGAGTGAAAGCATATGTTGAAGAAATTAACATGATTTGTCATTATATAATTCTTTATTATTTGTTCCCAGTAGCTGTCCATTAATATTTCCCATCCACTGTTATATGTAACCGTATCTGAGGCAATAAGTGTTAAATCAAGCTGTCTTGGTTGTTAAAATGTTCTGAGAAATACTCATTGCCCGGATGATTTTGCTGACCTAATAACCTTGACCGGCAATGTGATGGTTTCATGTGTCTACCAAAGTATGTCCCAACTGCGGATTTTTTTCCGTTGGGCCTAGAATGTCGAATGAAGTGAACGGTTAATGACCGTTTGGTATGATAGATCGAATGACGTGCTTTTTTTTCACGCATTTGTCATTCTTCCTTTGTGTTAAAAAACCGCTGAAAGCGTAGAAAAAAATGCAATAGAATATTCGTTTCTCTATTGGCATTTTTCAGTTTCTTGATGCATCAGTGATGACGTCATTATCATTATTGTCAACAGCATTTAAATTAATTGGACTGCTAGGATGCTAATTGCTTGAATTCTGTCACTCTGTTCAACATCACATCAGTATATGCCAAATACCAAGTGCATAAACGACAAGCAGTTATCTACTGAGGTTAGAAAAATATTACAGTAAGTATTTAGTTTGAATTGCCACCTCACTGTAGTAAATATTGTGCAACATATTTTCATTTAAACAAAGACGTCGAAAACTTCTTTTGCTAAACATAAACGTTGCGAAACTAACGACTGCTTCCGTCACATCGCCGCTGATGTATTCGTAATGTATCCCTGCGCGAAAATAAATTGCCACAACCACACTGGAGTTTATATTGATGTGTTTTGTAATGCCTTTGAAGATCATATATTCTAAAGTATGTCTTTTTACATTTGGGCCAAGTGCAGTTATATTTCTTGTGCGTTTCAAGATGTTTTGAATATTCCTTGTTCGTCTGCATAGTTGTATTACAATGACGACATTCATACTTCTGCCCAACTGAAAAACTGAATATAACATCTGTGTTTACATATACCTTTTTATATGCTAGTTAATGAATATAACTTGAAAAATGACGGTATCAGCATAAAAAAGAAGAAAAAAGAAATTGATTAAACCATTGATTAAACCTGTCAAATGGCATTTCAACTAGCTTAAACTACGAGTGTTGCTCACTTTTTTACAGTATTGTTTTTTT